CGCCTCCCCGCCCTTGGCCACGCCCTCCAACGCTCTCATTGGCCAACGGCGCCTGAGCTGCCGACGCGCTGAAACACTAGCCAATGGGAGGCCAAGGCGGAATAAGGGGGCGGGGCTGGGCCTGCGGTGGAGAGTATTGTTGTCGGTGACTGCGCATGCTCGCAGGAGGGCGGGTGGCCGTGTCCATGCAGGCTGTGAGTTGCGAAGTTGCGGACAGTTAACTGGTAGTTGACCGCAGCGCGGCGGGTTGGCAGACAACGGAGCTCAAACTCGCCGTAAAGTGCTTGAAAATGGGGTTTTGGGCTTTTTGATGTAAATAAAATCAAACCGAGTTGGCCAAGCCCAACACCCAGTTTCCGTCCACTTGGGGCTACAGTGTCGCTGCAAGGCCCCTGGCATATCCCGACCGCGGCCCCTCTTATGGGGAACCAACGAAGGCATGGGGGTCACCAGCAGAGAGTGACCCCACAGAGGGTCCCGTGCCCCAACCCCCGCTGGGGGTCCTTTTTCTGCACGTGGTCTTCACTGCAGCTGCTCCTGCCCGCTGCGGCCCGCGGGCACTGGAGCAGTTAACGTGTAACGGAACCTCGCTGACCCCTGTGCGCCCTCCGGCGTCACCCCCACCCTCGGCACGTCCTTTAAAGCGGAACCTCCATCTAACAGACCCACGTGTACACTGCCAACTGGCAGTGCTGGGCGTCTTGGCTGAGACGTTGGGCCGCAAAGGTCCAGATCCGCCTCATTCTTGGGAACTCAGTCGTGGAATTCCAGGAGGCTTGGGTGTCCGGTCACGTGTTTTCGGACAGCCAGGTGTCTGCGTTTCCGGTTGCTGGTTATGGTCCGGCCCCTCCAGTGCAGGTTGTGCAGAGGCAGCGGCAGGGGGCGGGGCGGGAGACTGGAAGGGTCAGAAACACAGGTGGACTGAGTTTGGTGCGGAGCCTGGGGAAACTGGGCCTGGTGCCCTAATCCCTGCCTCTGGCAAGCCTGGCTTCCTGGCCTCCCTCCAGCAGCCACTGCCAGGAATTGCCCAAGTTGCGGCTTGGTGCACGCCTCCCTGCTCAGAAAGCCCCCACCTCCAGCCTGGCAGCAGAGGCACCTGTGGGAGCCCTAGGGAGGGCTCAGCTGTGGGAGATGCGAGTGGTTTTCCACGAGCTGTTGTAAAGCACACACCCAAGGGGTATTGGTTTCAGGTTTGCCAGAACACTGCCTGCCCTCAGTGCCCCACGGGGCGGGTAGAGAGGTAGATAATGTGGCCCAGTGGCAGGGTTTGGGAAGCTGCCCCGCCCTGAAGGGATTTATGCCTGGGGTTTCATTCCCAGCCTCTCCAGTGACTCTGTTTTGCAAATGGGGAAACAGCCTTGGGGCAGTGAATACCAGGACCTGACCTGTGGCCCCATTTCTTTAAAAAGTTTTTGAAATTGAGATCATATATAAGGGGACCTTAAAAAGTTTGTAGAAACATACAATTAGGGGCCGGGGCCACCAGTGGAATGATGGTTAAGGTGGCTGGATCCCACATGGCTTGAGTCCGGAACCCCGGGGGGCTTGAAACACATGCAGGGCACATGTGCGTGCATGCCCAAAATCCAGAGAGGAGGATGGAGGGGAAGGGGTTGCGGCAGGGGCCACCCCCAGTGCGGTGCATGATTTCTCACTCTCACTCTCCAGAGAGCCCTGATGCCTCATAGAAAAAAAAAAAAAAAAAAAACACAAAAAGAAAAATGGAATTAAAGTATGCATTTACTCTGGTGCAAAACAATTCTGAACTCCATGCGTGACTCTTCCCCGGTCTCACGGCCCTCATGTCACTCACAGCGTGCTACTGCATGACCGGAGCATGCCCACGGTGCGCTGTGGCCATCACCGCTGCCCGCCCTCCCCCAGCCCCTGAGACCCCCCTTCTGGACATCCCTGTAAGTGGGGTCGTCTGCTGTGACCTTTTCCATCTGGCCTGTCAGCCTGACAAGGTAAACTGAGGCAAAGGCTGTGACTCCGAAGGCGACCATCCAGGCCCGGCTGGAAACTGCCAGCCTGACCTGCTCACCCTAACCCTCGGCGAGTTAAGGGCAGTCTGAGCCGGACAGGCCGCCCTGGGCAGCAGGTGTCCTGGCCGCGGCCGTCCGTGCCCTGGTCTTCTGCAAGGCTGTGGCTCCCGCAGCGTCCCTTGTGTCCCTTCTTGTTATCAGGCACGTGCACTTGAGGAAACGCCCTCCATGACCGTCCCTGGCTCCGCTATCAGGGTTGACACGATCCGGGATGAGTGACCCCAAGTGTGTTCACATGTGAACCCCTGTGGACAGTGCAGGAGGTGGTGGTCCATGCGCCGGGGTTGGGCATGTGGGCTGGTCCTGCCTTCGGGCCCTGCCACGCTGCCCAGTCCGTGTAGCGGTGTGAGGCCAGAGTCCTCCGTGGCCAGGCACGGCAGCCTCAGCCTGGAGACAGGGCGCTGGGCCTGCCTGCCCCCTCACCCACCCCAGGTTGGTGTGCACCGAGTCCCTGCCACTCCCTGGGGCTGGGCTCCTTTCCAAGCGAGGCTGGACTTCCTTGCTGTGGAGCACAGCAGGGCTGGACCCCACATGGTCAACCATGTTCGAGTCCAGGACTGGTAGCTTGCTTTCTCACTCCCCCCATCAAATTTAAAGAAATAATTAAAGTTACTTAAAATAATTCTTTTATTTCTTTTTTTTTTTGGAGAGAATTTTACTATAGGGCACGTGTGCTCACCTGAAAGACAGACACAGAGAGATAGAAAGCGAGAAATCACCCCCAGGGGGGATGGCTACACTGCAATCCCTTCTCCTCTATTCTCCTCTTGGGATCTTGGGCACGCAGGCACACACGTCCGGCCTGCGTTTAAGCCACCGGGTCCGAGACTCGAACCGTGGTTGACTACATGGGAGTCCAGCGACATAGCCATTACGCAAAATGCTGGTCCCAAAATAATTCTTAAAAAAAAAAAAGTCACCCAGTGTGACCCTGGGCCTGGGCCTGGGCCCCTCCTGCTCCTGCTTCAATTCCTTTCCTCCGTCACCGTCACCGCCTACCCCAATCTCGCTGGGTCAGAGCGGCCCAGGCCAGCCCACACCTGGAACCTGGCGGAGTGGTGGCACTTGGCAGTGTGCCCCCTCACCTTCAGACACCTGCTCCTCCTGCCTCCTGGACACCTGGCCACCCCTTGCCCTACTTAAGGACACCTGTAAGCCACAGGCTGCTCCAGCCACTGCCGTGGTTACCGGCCCAGTGCAATGGGCACGCTGCAGGAGGGACGTGAGGCACAGAGAGGTTCAGAGGTGCCTGAGGTCGCACAGCCAGGCTCGAGCCCAGGTCTGTGTTGAGACTGCTTCCCCATCCCCATCTCTGGGTCTTTGAACCTCGGCCAGGTGGCCCAGCCATGGTCTCTGCTCCGGGACCTCGGCCAGACCCTGGGTTTTAATCTCCACACATGCCACACACCTGCACACCCCTCTCAAATAGCGACGTACACGTGTGGAAGCTGAGGCTCGCGGCATTGACCTACACGTGACGAGGACCCACTAGAGAAAACCACAGTTTGATGCACAGATTCCTAATAGGAATTCCCTAATTAGCACCCCGACCGTCCCTAGGAAACGAACGGACGTTTTACGTACCCGCGCGGGCCTCAACGCGCCGCCCACTCCCCGCCTCCGCCTGCTGGGGTTGTAAACCACCGCTCAGGTCGGGAGTGGAGTAGAAACTACAACTCCCGAGAGGCCTTGCAGCTAAAGCCACGCGAGACTGGGGCGAGGTTCTCGCGCAACCAACCTCTGCGCCCCGAAGGCCCGGGCTGCCCTGGGCGCTGCCGGTCCCAGGCCGCGCTGCACTAAGGCGTTCGCCTGCGACAGCCCCGCGCGGGGCGGCTGGGAGAGGACCCCTGAGGACCCGGCGCAGGTGCATGCGCATTCCGACGGGCCCAGACCGGCGTCTGCGGGTGGCTGCAACAGCGGTACGAAGAGGAGGAGACCTACCGGCTCTGGAAGATCCGCAAGACCATCATGCAGGTGGGCGTGGGGCCCCCGTTTATCTCGTGAGCTGGAGAGGGCGAGACAATTCGACGGGGCCTCCCCTTCCGTACCTCCAGCCGGCGACTTCTCCGGCGTCCCGGGAGGCGAACCCAGGACCCTGCGGAGGAAGGCGAGGCGAGGGCGCCCCCGAGGTGCGCACATGCCGCCCTGGGCTGCGGCGGGGCGCTGGGTCCATGCGCGGTCCCGCAGTTGCGTCCGGCGAGCC